CAAATCCAAGAGGGTCTTTCCATGGCAGTTTTTAGGTTATTCTTCCCTCCTTGTGTCCTTAGTTGTGCTTCTGAGCTGGGATCACCCAGCTTTTTTCCAAGCTCTTTCTCAGCCCGTCAGAAAGTACATGTCTCTCTTCTGTCTCCTATTCGCCCCAGGTCTCTGTGTCCCAACACAGCAATTGTTGAAGATGATGAAATCTCCCTCAGCTATTCAATAAATGGACAAAGCATGTTGCTTGAAAGGCATAGAAAAGGTTCATAGAAAGCTTCAAGTTGGCCTTCACCATCCAGTATAGCAGTTTCCTGATACTTTCTGCCCCAAAAGTCCACAAAATCCATCTAGGCTTTTAGCACTACCTTAAACATTTTTACCTGCTGGTATCACCATTTTGAAATACCTTGGTAGTTGCTTCGTACTTTACTGGGCAAGATAAGACTATAGGACTTACAACATTACTGTATGCTGTTGTTTAACAAAGATGCACTATGTGCATTTTTTAAGGATGCATTTAGGTCAAAGGAGGTGATTCTCCCCCTCTATTCTGCTTTCATGAGCACCCCCCGGAGCACTGCATTCAGCTCTGGGGCCCCCAGCACAAGAAGGACATGGATGTATTAGAATGAGTCCAGAAGATGAAGATGATCAGTCTAAAAGAAGGCCACAAACATGATCAGAGGGCTGGAGCACCTCTCCCATGAAGACAGGCTGAGGGAGTTGGGGTTGTTCAGCCTGGAGACGAGAAGGTCCCTGGGAGACCTTACAGCGGCCTGACAGTGCCTAAAGGGGGCCTGCAGGAAAGCTGGGGAGGGACTCTGGGTCAGGGAAGATAGTGACAGGACAAGGGAGAATGGCTTTAAACTAAGAGAGGGGAGATTTGGATTAGATATTCAGAAGAAATTCTTCACCCAGAGGGTGGTGAGCCACTGGCACAGGTTGCCCAGGGAAGCTGTGGATGCCCCATCTCTGGAAGTGCTCAAGGCCAGGCTGGATGGGGCTCTGGGCAACCTGGCCTGGTGGGAGGTGTCCCTGCCCATGGCAGGGGGTTGGAACTGGGTGGTCTTCCAAGGTCTCTTCCAACCCAAACCATTCTATGGTTCAATGATTTTTCATGAATACATATTCATTGCAATCTAACCCAAAGAAAATACTGGATTCTTACACATTAAAAAAAATATCAGTTTAGAATCACCGAGTCATAGAATATCCTGAGTTGGAAGGCACCCACAAGGATCATCAAGTCCAGCTCCTGGCTCCACACAGGACCACCCAAAAATCAAACCATATGCCTGAGAGCGTTGTTCAAACACTTCTTGTACTCTGACAGGCTTGGTGCCATGAACACATCCACTGTTTACACATCCACTGGTACTGTATCCACAAGCCTTTTGCAAGATGTAAAGTAGTGAGATGACTATCAAATGCTACTGATTAATATTTTCAAGCACTAGCTTTGTAGGATGCCCTTCCTCACAGTTTTGGCACATAGCCTCCGTATGAATTTGTTATTTTGCATTGAATATTATATATTCTGAAATTTTATTTTAAGCCCTCAAATTTTAATAAAGGTTTTGAGCTTTCAGAGAGGTACACCTTATTCAGCATATTCCTCAAATATTTTGTCTGCAATATTGAAAGTATATTTCAAACAGTATGTGAGCCATGACATGAATTTAATGGAAAATGTGTGTGTTTTTTGTTTGTTTGTTTGTTTTTGCATCATATTTGGTATGATCAATATGGGAATAGAAATTGTTGTATTTCTCTGATTTAGGTCCTTTTGGACCACTTTATTAATCTCTAGCTCAGTTGATGTTATTAGTTATAGTCAGAGAACAGTCACTAACATCTTTAAAAGTTATGTATTTGTTGCAAAACTGGAAGCTCACCTAATAATGCCATCTAACTCTAGATAGGTAAAGCACACGTGCTAAGAATAGGAAATACTCTGTTACTCACAGAGAGGGGATTCTGTAACAAAGTTTGGATGGGAAATTACTTCAGATAGTGTTGTTAAGGCTTGATTTCTTTATAAAAGAAGCAACGAGTCATAACAAATTATTTTCAAGTTCTATTGTTTTGGTATATACAATTGCAAGAAGGAAACAGAATGTTCTTTGTGTTTACTTCTTTTTTTTTTTTTTTCTTCTATTTATGTTTAGCCTCATTGGTTTACCGAGGTTGGCTTTAAAGAGCTACTTTTACAATTTTTACAACCTGTTCTTGAACTAGACACTTCTTACATACATGGTAGTATGTCTAGCTTTAAGCAAGCTTTTCATCTTCTTTATGGGTTTTGTGAAGTATGCTGCACTTAGCTGATGGTATGATAAAAGCTTTTTTTTGTGTGTGTATTTGACCAAACTTTCATTATTGCAGTTGTGTTCTAGCTATTTTCTAGCCTTTTCTTTAGAAGTAGCACTTTGCTTATCCATACGTCTACGTAATGTTCTTAGAAGGTTCAACTAAATAAGAAGCATATAGCTCATTTATGTTGGCTTCTGTTAAGGATTCTTTCTTCTTTCTAAAGCTGAGATTTATCTTTGAGGAATTTGATTATGGCAAAATAATATCCTTCACTCACCTGGTACTCAGTGAAGGTTGAGTAGTGATCTCTGTCATTTCAAGTGGAAAAACACATCTCTTTCTGCCTTGATTCTCAAGATTTCCTAGGCTTATAATTTAAATCACCAGCCCATCCATTTTTGTCCTTAAATAAAATGACCTTTCTGCCTGGAGAGACAGGAGTGAATTTGGAAGCTACAAAATGCTATTAAATAGCTGCTAAAGTCATAGCTTATGCTTGTGAAGTGCTGGGGAAGTTGCTGCCTGTCTCCCAGATGGTTCTTCATAGCTACTGAATTTTGGAGAGAGTATGGTCAGATTTAAATTTTTTGTCCCAACTTTGATAATTTTCTCTTTGTAAGGTAGTATCCTGAGGAATCAAGATACAGTGTTAAATGCTTACGTGTCTTTAGTTATTCTGAAAGGCAGCACAGAAGAATGTGATTTTTTTTCTAACTGCTTATTTGCCAATTCCCCCAAACAGGCATGGAGCAGAATGCAGAATTAGGTGGCTGTCATCTGTGTAATTCCTCATCTGCAAAACCAAAGCCTAATGAGTCTGTTTCACTGAACAGAGTTTCCCATCCATATTCAGCTGAGTATTGGGCCTTCTGGTTCTATAAGTATTAAAAATAATATTAAATCTGACTTCGGTTAACTGCAATCTGTTTATAACAAGTGGCAGACAGTATCTTCATCAGGAGATGTGCCCTATTTTAATATAGAGTAAAATTATTAATTTGGGGAAAAGTTTTTCAAATAAGATCTAAAATTTTGCTGTAACTACTTCTGAATGTTTGGCCTGGTGCTCTTTCCTGGAGGGGAGGCTATTTTTTTCAAATTCCATGAAGTTTTGGCCAACATTCTTTGCCATTAACTCTAGCCAGGTTTATCTAGATTGGCCTCACTGGCTTTAGTCGTGCACTCTATCCAATGGATATTTAATGTGAAAAAGAAAAACAGAACATGGTAGCAGGTACCAAAACCAGGACAACTTTTCCTTTCCCACTGTCTTCCCCCTGCACCTTACAGAATCTGTTTGCTAGGAAGATGTGGCTCATTCTGGTTAATGTGCTCTATTTCCAGTTCTGTTACTACCAAGTTTTGCTGTGTGCAGGACGCTAAGAACGGGTGGAGAGCATCTGAATGTCATGTGGTGTAGTGGTTAGAGCATTGTCCTGGAAGGTGGGAACTGAATGTCCATGTTTTATAAACTTAAGCCCTTCCTGAGGGCTTTTAAAAAAGGAAGGCTAAGTGAGGGAGGCTCTATTCAGGTCCTGTTCTCTGTAAAAATCATTTATCCTAAGAGTTTTCACTCAGTCTATGCAAAGACTTATACAAATGAATGCCTTTCCTCTGAACTCTGATAATAGCTTTGAGCAGTGTGAAGCTACTATTTATTTAATGAAATCTCCCACAACAAATGCATTTTAGGGGATCATTAGCCCTTTGGATTAAAGGGGAGATGATGATGATGATTATTATTATTTAGACCTTTGTAATATTAGAAAACCACTGGGCAATTCTGTATATTAGATATCTTCAGCTATGTGGAGTATCAGGATGGACAGAGCAAAGAAGCAATGTGAGGGAAGACTGAGGAATGCCAACAGCATGCTATGTGTGGGCAGCTTCCATTACCCTCTGCCTCAGCTGTGCTTGGTGCTGTCTAGCGTTGCCAGTACCTTTCAAATACAAAAATTCAACAGATTTTCCTACTTATTTTTTTTTAATTATTCTTCCGGTGAAAGGAAATAGAGCTAAGTTCCAATAATCAACAGAAAATATTACTCAATGCAGTGAAACCCAAGTCGCTTGTAATAAAATTTTCCATATTTTAAAAAGCAGTATAAACAGTAATGAAGTTTTGGCTGGCCAACCAGTGTGTCGTAATTATTGGAAGCAGAGGTGTTACAGATCTTCAGAAGTATGTCTAAGTCCAGTAGACATAAATAGAGTGTGTTGTGATCTCTTATCATCATACAAGCAGACCTTCAATTTTGGTTCGTCTCTCACAAGTCCTGAAACGTCAGTTTGAGAGAAGAATGAAAGAAATTAGAGTATTTATTACCTACATGTGCAGATTGGAGTTTTTAACTGTGCAATGGGTTAAGCCTAACATCACATGTAGTGTCAAACTGTGTGTTGCTCACCTTCTACCAAAACCATCAAATGAAGCATACTGGTGGTCCTGCTGTGATGTATTTCTGAGGTTCTTGCTCTATTCCTTCCGAGTGCATTGCTACAGCTCTTCTGGGCTGCCTTTTCAATCTCCTCACTATAAATACGTAGTATAAATATTTTGGTGATGCTGTGTGCTAAAGAAATTAGCAAGTAGCATATGACAATCACTTTTTTTTGTTATTGGTAACTTAAGAAAAACACACACACACACACACACATCTTTTACTGTGCATATTTTTCAATTTTCCTAGATTTCGCAAGGAGCATCCCTAAACGATTTACAGAAAAAGAAGAGGCGTGCGCCTCTTCCACCAACTCTGTCTGCTCCGCCCACTCCTGCCATGCCAAATAGGACAGAAGAGGTGGAAGACAAGAGGAAGAGCACAATGGGTGAGAGATGCTGTTTTCTCCTGTATAATTCCATGCATGTGCTTTCAACACTCACTGTTCAAAGTTTCTTTAATTCTGTTATGCTGTGAGTTGGGAACTTTGTAACTTGGCTGGGGTGGAGAATGCATTTACATTGCAGAATGAAAGTCTGGAAATAAGTGTTTCTATATTACCTCATTTTAATGGCACCATTCAGAGGACCAGAAAACAGTAAAATGTAGATGACACTTGTCAGATGATTTGAATGTTTTGTATGAGTTAGATAATTCAAAAGCAGTAGCTATTCTGTGCCTCTAAGGTCATGGTCATTTTGCTAGTAAAAAGTGAAGAGAGAGACAAGGCAATACTGAATACATCTGAAGCCATGGGGTCTACTAGAACTGAGGTACAACTAAGCTAGTTTAGATTCTTCTCATGTTCCTAAAGCCTGAAGACATTTTCTTTTCCTGTAGGCCTCCAAAAGTTTGACATCAAGTCAGTTGATGGTCAGTGAAGATTTTATTTTGAATTTGTTCCTAAATTAATCTCTCCTGAGTCTTTAGCTAGAAGAAGAGAACTGGTTCTCTTAAAGGAATTCCATACATAGCTGGTGACAATGAGGGAACTGTAGTCTTCAGCAGTACGTGATACACCTTTACTCTCACGCAGGAAAATGTTCTCCCAAACCTCTGTCATGATCTGACTGCTAGCTCATTCAGGTTGGTGGGAGCTTTGTCCAAGTGAGGACCCCAAGATTATGCTTTTAGCAAACAACATGATTTTGTGATGGGTAAAGATATGAGATAATAACCCCACATATTGAAACGTTTTTTTCAGTACATTAAGAGAAGCATTCAAGTGCTGTAATGCACTCAATGCACTTCAGTTCATGTCTTTGACCTCATGTTCCATAAAGTGCCTAAGACATACAGATATGACATCCTGTCATACATAATTGCTTACATTATGAAAGCCTCACAGTTTAGAAAGAAACCTCTTGGCTTTGTTCCAACATTTATTTACAGTAAATGCTTCACATTTAATGCCTCAGCATTTATGTAGCAGCAGGAGTCCATTATCTTGTGACATGCTCGACTCCATTGACATCTCTTATTTAAGCCCTCCAAGGGGAATGTTATCACTGTGCCATATAATACAGGGTTTTTCAGCAAATTGGCTTACTTTTAACTATTGCTGATGCCACAGCCTGAAACTCCTCATGTCTTGCCCTGTTGCAAGTCACTTATTGATGACATTTGGTGCTTCAACTTTTTGTAAGTGTTAATTTTATTTTGTATCAGTGCTCATAACGTTACAGCTGAAATAAAGCAGAGCATAACCACTTCTAGTCCATTCAGTGCTGTGTACATAAGTGCTAGCTGGCCAGACTCTGTTACGTAGAGTTCTGTAGTATCGTTTACTTTAATGGAGCCTTATTAATTTACACCAACAAAGAACTCATCCCACAGTAGCCCGATCCCCAGTGCTTTTCATTTTCTGCTGCTTTCTTGAATGAATACATTCATTAACAAGAAAAAAATGTTACAGTGAGGGAAGGTTGGTAAAACAGCCTCTCTTTGAGGCCCTTGCAAGAAAATGATGAGAAAGCACAGATGGCTCTGAAAGCAGGAGAGAAAAGCTGTGAAAAAAGCAAGACAGTAGTGAGGGGGAAAAAGTGCTGCAAGAAACAGGCAGCCTCATGATGAAAAAAGGATTAAAGCTACCTGTATATCTCCCAAGTTAGCCACATGAATCCAAGCAAAAGATCAATCAAAAACATCCTCGAACTGGCGAATGGGGCACATTCAATACTGAACCACTTACTCTGACCCCAAAGCATTGTGCCCAATTTCCTCAAAGCAGTTAAAAAAAGTCTGCACCTTTGCCAGCATTTAATTGTCTTCAATCTCTACAAACTAGTGACTCCTAAGTAACAAATCAGAATGGCTTAATCTTTTTTTCCTGCCTCTTGGCGCTATTCCCCTTCTCAGCAGCACCAGAGCATGAGCCTAGGAGCGATGGCACAGACCAGAGGTCCATCTCAGCCAGCATCCATCTTCAGCTATGACCAGTAGCAGATGCCTAGGGCAGGGCATGAGAGCAGAACAAGCAGGCAGTCCTGCTTCCTCAGCTGACTTGCAGCCTCCGAGGACTTGCTGAGCTGCAATAGCTCTAGGTCTGTACACCACAAACTGGCAGCAGCTTTTTGACATTGCAAATGGTTAATGCAGCGTAGTCCAACGGTGCACGTATTTATGCAGATATTGTACATAGCATTGAAATGAGCCTCCAGCAAGTTATGAGCATTTCCTTTGGTAGCTTAAAACAGTTTTATAAAGAATGACTTAATCAGCTGCTTTCCCGCAATGTCAAAATAATACAAAAACTACTCACAAAAAAGAAAAACCCGTCAACATACCTACTTAAAAATAGTTATCTGAAGCATTCTCCTTTTTCTCTTACAGAGAGGGGGAAATGGTCACATAATGTATCCTAGAGGTCAACAAATTCATGCAGTTTGGCACTTATGGAAAATAAAACATTTTTCTCTTGTTTTTATTTTCTTACACACCTTTTTTTTCACTTTTCTTTTTTGAATTTTCATCCTTCCTTATATTTGGCAAAACACCAGTGAAGATTTCAGCTGTTAGCTGGGATGTACACGTATGTGCTTAGCCTATTTCTGGTCCCAATGTTGTTGATTTAAGAGAGACCAGACTTTTCCTTCTCCCTTAATTATCTGGGGCTAAATAAGAGCAGAATTAGATCCAGAAGGACTTTGGTTGTGGGTGAGGGAAAATCATCGTGTATTTTAGAAATAACAGCAAACGTAGCAATCGTTGTCTTGACGCTGAAGTAACTAGTCGATTGATCCCCCCTGTAGGTGATGGACGGCAGGTGCCACAAAAGCCTCCTAGAGGCATCACTCGGGGTCCACCCGAGTTAGTGATCCCCCCACCCCCACCTTACCCTCCTCCTGACAGAGACAGTATGGATCCAGCAGTCTGTTACAGAGAAGCAGATGTTACAGCACCAACAAAGCTGGTACCTAAACGTATGTTTCCAAATATATGTGTGTATGCATCTCATCTCTGTTGATGGTTATTCTCAGGGGTAGCCTTTCCAGACTTTCCTTTCTGCTCTTTGGATATATGTGTCTGTTTTTTTCCCTTTTTTTCCAGCCCGTTGTCTTTTGAAATGCCCAATGCAGTGTAACTAATTGATGTAAAGTAAATTAAGGACTTGTTTGGAGACCAGTTTGCTGGAGATACCTGGCCATTCTCTGGAAGCATTTAAAAGCAACCATCAAAACGTGACTTCACCCAGCTGGAAGCAGAAATTCGTTGCCTTGTATTAATTCTCCATCTTTGATTTTCTGTACTAACATTTTTTCTCTCTCCAGAGACAAATTCCTTTGAGAGTCAATAGGTCTATCAGTCTAGGTTGAAAACTCCAGGGTGTCTCCCTTCAGGAAAATGAAGCCATTTACAGAAGCTGTATATTGTTAAAGGCCTTCCTGTCCTAATGGATACGTCTTCCTTGACATCTCTGGATAATCCTTTGTGCGCTCTTCCCCTCAGGGCATAACTGTTATCTGACAAAAAAATGCAATAGTTTCCACATCCATGTGTATTTGTGAAAAGCATGTTTTCATGCTTTTTCACGCTTACCCATTGACTGTCTTTAAGTCTTTGTACATGATCCAAGTCTTTGATCATGTAGTGTATTCTCTGCGGGCTTGACCTGCACACCCATGGAGATCCTGTAAAGGCAACAGAGCTCTGCACATTATGGCATCTCATGGACACACTTCTTTGAAGGTTAGGAGTCTGTCTCCTAACCGTGGAATAGAGAAATGCCTCCATTAGCTGCTAATTTGACAAAGATATTTTTCCAGGACATTTTCTTTACCAAAATTATTCTTCAGGTAGCAGTTAAACTGATACATTAACATCAGTGGTTTATCTGCTCAGTGCCAACTAAATCTAAAGTATTATTTTTCAAATCTGTGCTAAGGAAATACAGATTGATGAGCTTTATAGTGGGGAGAGAAAAAAAAAAAAAAAAGAAAATCCATACTAACAGAAAACTTGAATCTTATTGAGGATTAAACCTAATTCATTTCTTTACTACCATATGCACAGAAACCATATCATACTTGAAATCTTTTTTTTTTACTAGATACCATCAGCTTGCCTACAATGTTTTCTTTATTAAAAGTCTGTTGTGGCCTTCTTTGCATTAATATTTCTGCTTCATTTGAGTTTCTACCACTCCAATATTTTGCAACACTTTCCTGATCTACCTTGGTGATCAAATACACTTTAATCAATGCAGCTCTGATGTTATCCGCCTGATCACTTGCTCTTAAACAAACACAATATCCCAGCCAAAATGATTTGATTAAGCTTGTGCATGGAAACATAAGATGAGTTTTTATTATCCTCGGTTTACTAAGAGCAAAGCAGTACTGCTTAGTGGATATTTATTTTAGACTTAAAGCATCAGTGTTGAAGAGGGACAAGTTTAGCTTCATAATTATGCTGCGCGCTACCTAGATATAGTCATGTATAGATTTACAGAAGAGAAACGTGTATAGATGTACCCATGAGAGAAGGCAGCACACACGACGGATGCTAATTATATTGCTTAATGCCATTCTGAAAGGTGCTTAGATACCGTAGCGACTGAGTGGTATAGGAACGGAGTTTTGCAATGATGGTTTTTATTGCCTGAGAATGCCTCAAGCAGTGCAAATAGGACTTTGGCGGTAGATTCAAAGGACAACAAAGTTCTCAATCTTCCTGACTCTAACCTCAGTAAGTGTTTTCTCATAGAACAAGGTGGGAAGGCGGATAAGCTACTGATGCCAGATATTGATGAAAGGCATATTTGTTCTGAAATCACTCTCAAAACAGCTTTCTTTGATGATGATTGTGGTCTCCTTTTGCTGAGTGGGTGACTGTCAGCAGCAGTTTGACAAGATGCGATTCCCGTTCAGAAATTATAATTCTGTGATCGTGTGGAGTTTAAATTCTTGCTCCTTATGATCTGCTATGGTTTGTGAGGCACTGTGCCCCACCCCTTGTTCCTTCCCAGCAAACACACAGTCGTCCCATTGTGCTCTGAGAAACCCATGGTGAGGAATTTTCATTTCATAGGGGATGGTGGTAATCGCTCTTCACAGAGTTTTCCAAACTTAGGTAGAGCGTAAGTCATTCATGAATAGAGCTTTTAGTAAGATACTTGGGTTTTTCTGGCTCTAATGGTAAGAGTCTCTCCCACAAGCAAGAGTGCAATTGTTCTTCCTGGTTTTTGCTCTTCAATCTTTTTATTCTCATTACATGGGTTTTCCTGTTAATTTTTGGTCTGGTTGAACCTTAGTTGCATGTTGTGTGCATGTCGAAAATTATATGTTTATGGGATCCTTTCTCCTTCCTTATCTTACTAATCAGATTGTTCATGGCCTGTGATTTTAAGATTGAGTGTGCCTTGGTAATACAGAAATGGAGATTAACACCTCTCTTGCATGGCTTTGGTTATTGGCATTTAGCTCCTGAAGTTCTCAATGAACAACTCAATAGCAAGCTCTGTACTACTCATATCAGGTAAAGAATCCGTATATTGAAAGATTGCTTACCTAGAGATACAACTAAAACATATTGCCTTGGAGTGTTTCCAAGTAGATCAGATAATCAGGCAGTACAGTTTGGGTCGGAAATGACCTTTAAAGACCATCTAACCCAACACCCCTGCCATGGAAGTCATTAGAATAAATTCAGTATTCCTGTGAACCTCTTTGATTAGCCATTTTTATTTGGCTGTTATGAACTGTCATATAGAAATCCAGTAAGAAATTAAGAAGGTTAAAAAACAAAAGACACTTCACCTTCACTCTTACACAGAATAAGGTGCTAATGAACTTCTGTCTTTAAAAATGAGATTGTTATTTGAATTTGTCTTTTTTAAAATAATCAATCTTCTTCTGACTTAGTCAGAAATATTCTTCTTCTGACTTAGTCAGAAAGTTTGAAAGGGATGAAGTAGGGATGAAGTGGTGAAGTGATTAGTAGAAGAAGTATTTCCCAATTATTTTATATGAACAACATGTATGCTACTAGTTGATGGGTAATAACAAGTTCATTTTAAGAAACAGAGAAGAAAGGAGCCTTGTCCCCGTGTTTAATTTTTAACGTTTTCTGTGATATCGTTGATATACTGATGGGTAATATAAGCCACTTGACAAAAGCTGTGACAGTTTCACAAGCAATTTAGCCATATTTCTCCAGTCAGTCACCTTAGATATTTAGTTTTTCACAGTGATTAGGGATAGTTTCTAAGGGTTGGACTTTGTTAACTTTAAGCAAAAACAGGTAGAGAAACTCCTAGAGAGAAAATGACTTTTTTACATGTGTTTCAAAATTAATAGAGAACTGTGGACTGCTCAGTAGGTAACTTTGCTTGCCTATTATATTGCAGTACTGCAAAAGGAGTCTTTCAGTTTTTCCAGCCTTTTCTTTTTTAAAGATGGGCTTTAAGGCAAGAAAATCTGTAAGGGTGACTTAGGAGGCTTATACCACCATCACTCTTTTCCAGCCTGATCTGAGAATAAAGAACGAAGCTGAATCTCCAGCACCATCTATCTTGTACCTTCTAGAGAATTAAAATTCAGTCCAAGTTAAGCAGAGTTCATAGACATGCTGCCTATCAGTGTTGTGCTGTTGGGATCAAGTTAGCTTATACATAAACCCAGGGAGTTAGTCTCAGAGCATCTGTGGGATTTTCAATTTCTGTATGTCTGCACCTAACTACACCTCCTTTGGGCATCTGATTCTTGAAGGTTGCTGGGCATGCTAGCCATTCTGTTGTCTTATGTACACAATATTTATAATTTTATCATTTTACTCTTTTTCCCCCAACAGTTTATTGTTGTGCATCATTCCCTTCATACACCAAGCGCGTCTGACAGACCCTGCCTCTTCCTATGACCTTCATACCTCTGAACCTCCTGTTGCCTCTGCTACCCTGATTCTTCTGTTGCCTTTCTTCTTTCCCTGCTGGAAAAGAACCTTTTTTCTTTCTGACTGAAATTTCAGCTTCCTTTCTTTTCGAACTTGCACATTCTCTTTTAATTACTGTTGATTATTTTTGGCTGTTGTTCCTACTCATTTGTGAGATGTATGCTCCGGAACTGAATGCTGTGTTATATAAATCTATGTATCAGCCTCAGAAAGATTATCCGTACATTTGTCTATTCTTTTTCAAAAGATTGTCTTTATTTTGATCCATGGTTTGATTTGATTTGTTGTTTCAAATAGTGTGTGTATGGGGGAGGGAAGAGTGGTTTACTTTCAATACCATCTAAAGATTTCATGAAAACTTTCTAAAAACATTTTTCTTTCCTCTATTAGCGTAGGTATAACATTTTACATTCTCAAATTTATCCTATTTTTCCTACATAGTGTATGTTCTGTTCCCTTGGTACAAAAGTAGAACTGGGCATGGCTTAGGCAAGTTGAAGTACAGGATTCTTTCTATATCTTGGCTATCAGTCAAGGTGCCAAGAAAAAAAAAAAAGAAAGATCTGTCAGATTAACAGGGGCCTAAAAGGGATACTAAGAATCAGTACCAAATGCACTGATTCATAGACTTTACTTCTGCTTTCATCCTGATGCTTAGTATGATTAATTTTATCTTGATGTTGGAGACATCCTATGGAAATCAAGGTGTGTGTTCTATTTCTGTAACAAAAGATGCAAACACCGTTTGCTCAAGATAAATCTCGTTCCACAAGTCCCCTTTTTACAGCTGTAGTAGGAATACTCAGTATGTTATAATTATATCAGTTATAGGACTGTACTTAACGAAAACTTCTTTTCACTGAAGAAAGTTCTTCGTGTGAACAGCCCATAAGGCATGTATTTTTAATCATTCTGAATTATAAACATAGGTTTTATGAGCTGCAATGGTGCACACACCCAGAACTATTCTGACCTCACATGTACCGTGATTTAAGACATTTATGTTACTTAAATTAGTGAGTTGCAATACATA